ATATCTGGAATAAATTTTCTACTTTCAAAAGGAAATGTTATTTGTTAGATTTGAGAAAATCAATTTCTGAATATGAATCAATGTTCCAGTGGTTTAATACTTGTTATATAGTATTTACTTGTCGACTGTACTTAAACTCCATTATGTAAATAAAAAAGTTTTACTTATTTCAAAGTTCAATGTGACTCTATATTTAATAAAAGTTATTTAGAAAGAATAATTGTTATGCATAATTACCTTGAATGTCTTTGAGTGGATCCGCACTGGGATTTGTTTCAAAGAGAAACCTAAATTGCTGTTGAAAGTGCGTTTTCAATAACAGTAGCATCAATGTGACCCTGTTTTGATACATCACACTGCAACTTGTTCGCAAACTTCGAGGATGCCGTCGTGCCTCTAGTTTCTAGTATCTGAACTGGAACATTTTACATATTGTTCGATTTTAGAAAATAATAAAAAAGCTTTTGAAAAACTGTTTAGTTCTGAAGACATATTTTATTAGATATATGAAGTAATGGCTGACTCTCCTGAATGGAGATTCTTTCTAATTTCAATCAATATCTTTATCAATTTCATATCAAAAATATTGTAAAAAAACATACGATATAATAAAGAAGATAAAATATAAATAATACAACGGCCAAAGTTTTTAATATTTGACATGTTCTTATCTCTATATTAGGTGTATTATTTTGCAATACTAGCCTGTGACATTTGAATATTCAACGATCTTTTGTCGGTAACTTCGGATTCTGAAGGGAACCATACGAGTCTTCACGTATGATACAACGTTAAATGCTTTTACTTACCAGCATATCACGTGACTGACTAGCCTCGGTGACAAAGTGTCAGACTCATTTATTTGAAAGGGTTTAATCAAATGATTTTTAAATGTTTTTTTTTTTTTGTATGATTTTCTATTATATTTTGCATAACTAGACCAGTATGCTTTAATGCATGCGAGTCACTTAATGTACGCATTTGCATGTTGCAATTAATGCAAACAAAAAACAATATGTATTGATCAAAATGAATGAAAAATGTTATTGAAACACATTTTATTAACTCGTGTTTCATATAATAAACAGACAGGTATCTAACGAAAATGAGTTCCAGGTCCATATTCCCAATAAATACAAGGCTCTCAACGACTATTCAACCAATTCAAATTTATATGTGTTTATAATATAATTTCATACCGATTCTACGTTGATCATTATCTAACATCTCCAGAAAAAAAACTGATGCAATACAATTGAGAGGTATTAACATTGGTCATCTTATAAATTGATATCTGCAGTGTTGTTACTTTGGATCTGTTTACATGTCCCATCAAGTTAAATGCCCCCTTAAAAATATACACGGAAAAAACATTTACCAATACTGCTGTATAACTCATGAAGTATTAAGTTATAAAAGTTGATGTATTTCATAGGAAGCATCTGACAATGACCGATTCATTGTTGCAGGTGAAAATGTAGCGCTCGGAATTACTGCAATTTTGCATGAATGACGATTATTATAATATAGACTAGGTTTTAAAATGGTTTAATATGTTAAAGTAAGTTTGCTTATGGAAGCAAATCAGATCAAAACTGCAGTGACATTTAGAGTGTCATCAATAATGACACTGAAATAAGTTTGCAAATCCGAAATATTTTCACTTTTGAATCTTTAATACAATACCGATGATGAAAGGGATGAAACAAAGCATTTATGGTAAGTAGCATTTATAATAACAGGTTTGTATTAAATGCAAGGAAGATATATCTGAAACTTCAAATTTTTAACCCATTGTTATGGTCTGTGGTAGATTGGAGTTCTCATTATGTGGGTTATTAGCTCATAAATTCATTTTTATTAGGACATCTACAGTCCTCTCTGGTACATTTGCTGGCTCACAGAGGTCTTAATGGCGTTACTCGATGACCATGTCTTGGAAGCAGAAATGTATTGGACATTTATGAAAAAAACGAACAAACATAACAGCAAACTAAAATACAATGTAAATGAGCGGCATTGTATGGTATTTAGTCTTATATGTTTTGCAAGGACATCAATGTAAGATGATTATAAAATCTGTATCAAACCAGTGTGAGTTATCACAGCATTAAACAAAGATGACAGAAGAGAAATGTACAATTTTACGTTACATTCAAACAGTTAATTATTTGTGGATAAGTTCACTACTACCTATTACAACCATTTAGTATCATCAGTGCTTTACTTCTAATGCAGTGCACAGTTCTCCTATAATTCGCTTCAATTTGAAATTATTAGGATGTTGGTTCCATTTTTTCAAGTCATTTTTACATTATTATTTTGTTAACTATTTTCCAACTTGAAAACCTTTAATTGTTTAAAGCACGTTTATCTACGATCTCTATTGATTTTTTAGCAATGTCTGAAATGTCACATTCATTTTTATTTGCCGCAAACGGCGTGCATTTGAATGTTGATGTTTTTTTTGTTTTGTTTTTTATTTTTATTTCAAAAGTAGTAAACGTGTTTTTACCAATCAAGACTGATGTAAAAATCTCACACATTTCCAGTTTTCGAAAGCAAAAATTTACTCGATATGGCGTATAACCGAAACATGATGTTGATTTTTATTTCAAGTACCACAACATGATTTTGAAAGATATGAAGATGCACGACATCAAATAAGGCATTGACGCCATTATAATTTTACTGTTGGGTAATATCAAGTCCGGAAAATCGTCGTTTTTGAACACGGTAGCAACACTAGAAAAAGAACGAATAGCGCAAATAAACGTGCTTGAGGAGATGGAAAAAGTCTTACATTTCTATCTTTACATTTCTTTCGGAAACTACTTTCACAGTTACGATACCGCTTACATAAACACACATGCTTATAATTTGCACTTACAGAATATGGGTACTTATAGGCCTATCATGCTTGTATTAATTTCCGTTAGATTCCGTATTTCATAAGATATTTGGTATATTATTATTATCTCCTGAAAGAAAATTATTGTCCAATTATGTCCATAATCTGTTTCTTCTTCAGTTAAATTTTGGCATTTATTTCTATTATAGTGATTTTGTATTTAATGTGGAAGTTATAATACCACATTGTTATCATTTTACAATCTAAATGACAAATCATTGCACACATAGGACTCCTTTCCTAAGGTTGGATATATCTTACATGTTCTAAAACCACAATTTAAACATTTATAACATTACAAGAATAATGTTCCTAGATAGTTGCCAGTGTAACTAGCAAAGCTCACATTTATAATGCTCGGTTGTATAAGATTTAATGTCCTTGTTCATCTGTCCTTAATTTTCAAAAGGTCTAAACATGTTTGTGGATTGTTGAAATTAATGCATCTTTATCACAAACACAGTCTTTTCTAAAACTCCTACATTTAAAGTATATAGAAACTACTCTGGAAACAATTAATAAACAACTATATTTTTAAACTTTGTGAAATAAATATTAAAAAAGAGAATAACCGTTAATATTCTACCTTTCTATTTTTCACCCTTCAATTTTGAGTTAATTTTAAATTGTTATCCACTGTGGCTGAGGTGTTGAGAGACGTCTTAGATTATTTTTTTTTATTTTGTTTAAGATATAACAAGGTCCGATAGCATGTGAGCATAGAATGATGTATTTGAAAGTTAAAATTGCCTTTTTTCTATGAATGCGTATCATCCAATTATGATCGATATACGTTTCGTGAAGAAAATTATAACGGAAATATTCTTGGACAAAATAACGTTTCCCCTAAACGAAGAAAAGAAAATGAATATTTTTTCTGTGATACGTTTTAAACCGTTAAAGTATGTGGTTCCATCAAGTACTTATGCCGTACTTAAGCACTTATGTTTATTATAAATAACCTCATAATAATTTTACTTTTGACATAACAAATGTCTTTGCTCCAATGTCATTGTTAGTCATTTTTACCAGAGAACCTGTTATTTATTTACATTTTATATAATTCTAACACTCTCTTGATTTTGTCACTTAACACAAATTAGAAATAAAAAGGTGGTAAACTGCCTTTAAATATTGATTATGGACTACATGTATATGCAGCTACTATTTGTTTTCTCCCTCCGATAAGATAGTTTAAAAAGTATATTTTAGTCAACAAGTAATAGCGCATTTTTAAAGACATTGAATTATTATTTTGCTTTCTTTTGATATGATGCTTAAATAACATACAGAGACGCCAAATGTGTTATCCATAACGATTGACAAAATTTATATCAGAAAAATTGGCGTTTATTTGTAAGCAGCGTAATGACGCTTTACAAAGATTGCAATGCATTTATAAATGCGCCAGAATGACGTTGCTTGAACTGACATGGTGGACTTTGAAGAGTGATTAATCGAGCACTGATGTAAATCTAATAAAATCAGTCTGACATGTAAGTTTAGATTGTTGAACACTTCATAAGTAAATTCTTGAATAATAAGTTGATACATGTTTTTGTATTATTCTTTACTTTACATGAACAACTATAGCGTACGAAACAGCGTTTTACGAAAATCGGCAGCGGAGGTATCATTTTTTAAACATAACTACAATATTTCCTTTCCTATATATAAAATTACATTACAGGTATCTGGCTTTTGCTAACATATAAAGCTTCTGACTATTCACTAGCTGAATCCAACTGTAATCAGAAATTTCATTTGCCTCACACCGCTTTGGGTTCAAATCCTGCCAAGGACTTTAGGTTCTTAAATATGAGGAAAGTATCCAGCTAGAACACGCAACGTCGGTGATCTTCTTAGTTTCCCGTTTGTACCTGAAATAAATGCACGGAGGGGCAAGTGAGGTCTTTCTTATCCACTTAAGCTGGAAAGTCGCCATATGACTTCTACCTTGTTGGCGGGATGTAAAACCCAACCAAAATAACCTTAAACCAGGAGAGTTCAGTTCAATAACACTCTTAAGTTTGATGTGCCCAAACAACATGCAACTATGGATATCGCTGAATAAAAACTGAAAACATAGTAGACTAAATCCAATTTAATCGATTTAATATATACAATTGTTTTGTTAACTAATTATGACTAGCATACATAATCAAAATAATGAGTCGTGTTTCAAACTTAGACATATAAATAGTCTGTGACCTCTTGAAATCTTTGCGGCAGCATTTATTTCTATTCCCAAATATACCATACGGATATTAGAATATGGCACAGCGATTAACATTCTACTTAATACAGTGTTGTTATATTTTTGTCCTTTCAGATAACTTATTCTAAATACTTCAAGTGTTTATAAAACTGACAATTTAAAGAAGACCTAGAAATCGATTTTGATTTAAATAAAACATTTTCAAAGAAATCTTGAGAAAGGATTTGGTGAGGATTAGAGTGAACAACATTGTGATTATAAAGCAATCTGAAAAAATCTATTCCACGATAATTTAAAATATATTTCTGAGTCAAACCGAAATATAGTGAACAAGAGGGCCATGATGGCCCTGAGGTCGCTCACCTGTATATAGCTCCCCCAGGGTCAATTTTAACCCAAGGGCTTTTATTTGTTTATTTGAACAGACTTGGTAGACACCCATAAGATGTTTCATGCTAAACATCTAAGTTCTAGCTCATTGGGTTTTTTATAAAGAAGATTTTTTAAGTTTTTACTCTACACATATAGTTAAAAACAATGACAACCCATGGGCAGGGCCATTTTTGACCCCCAGACTTTCATTTGAACAAACTTTGTAGATATTTACTTAAAGATGTTTCATGCTAAATATCTAAACTGTAGCTATTTAGGTTTTTTCAAAGAAGATTTTTAAGTTTTTGCTATACACATAAAAGGAAAATTAATGACCCCCGGGGCAGGGCCAATTTTGACCCCGGGGCTTTTATTTGAACACACTTTGTAGACACTGATTAGAAGATGTTTCATGCTTAATATCTAAACTGTAGCTATATGGGTTTTTTTAAAAGAAGATTTTTTTTAAGTTTTTGCCATACACATATAAGGAAAATCAATGACCCCCAGGGCGGGGCTAATTTTGACCCCAGGGCTTTTATTTGAACAAATTTGGAAGACACCCATTAGAACATATTTCATGCTATATATCTTTAAAAGAAGATTTTTTAAGTTTTTACTATATGCATATAGGGAAAATCAATGACCCCCTGGGGCGGGGCCAATTTTGACCCCAGGGCTTATATTTGAACAAACTTGGTAGACACTCATTAGAAGATGTTTCATGCCAAATATCTTAGCTCTAGCTTTTTGGGTTCTTTAAAAAAAGAATTTGTAAGCTTTACTATATGCATATAGGGAAAATCAATGACCCCCTGGGGCGGGGCCAATTTTGACCCCAGGACTTTTTTTGAATAAACTTGGTAGACACTCACTAGAAGATGTTTCATGCCAAATATCTAAGCTGTAGCTCTTTGGGTTCTTTAAAAGAAGAATTTTTAAGTTTTTACTATATGCATATAGGGAAAATCAATGACCCCCTGGGGCGGGGCCAATTTGGCCCCAGGGCTTTTATTTGAACAAACTTGGTAGACACTCACTAGAAGATGTTTCATGCCAAATATCTTAGCTCTAGCTTTGAGGGTTGTTTAAAAGAAGATATTTAAAGATTTTTCTTTCGGTTGCCATGGCAACCAGAGTTCTCAATGGAATTAAATTCTTTGAAAAATTTTTAAAGGTGACCACCAAAGGAACATTGGATGAAATTGGCTTAGTGGTTTATGAGGAGATGTCATTTAAAGCAAAAGTTTACGGACGGACTGACGAAAAGCGATCACAAAAGCTCACCCTGTCACTTTGTGACAGGTGAGCTAGAAATGCAAAGGAATTCAATTAAATACAAATACCTTTTCATTTTCTTGAATAAGAAATACACACATGATAATAATTCCAATGTTATGTTTACTATGTCCTTTTTAAAACTTAAAAATCTTTTAATAATATGTCAGTATATCGAATTTGTCAGCATATTGAATTTCATCATTCATCATGAAATGATATGCTTATTTATTCTTATCTGAACATTATGTATTTAGATCTATAATAAACATCTATAATGAAAAGAAATTGTGTGTTTATGTGTTCACTTTATTATACACATTACATATCATACACATAATACAACAACTTTATTAAAATAATAACCAAAAAATAGTTAAATATTGATATGAAAATGATAACATTGTAATAAGGTGTAACAATCAACTGACCAAGCTACAATACATGTTTTAACACCTTGCGGCTTTTGTTAACAGGGTCAATGATACGCGCACTTGACTGACCAAGTGTCAGTATAATGTGTACTGATTATATAGAAAATAACATGTATGGTTTCCAATTTTATTGTGTCAGAGTCGGAATACTAATTTTCCGTTATAAAGGATTATAATAACGTTGAAAAAAATTGGTTCCCACCAATTCACTGTCATTATTTGAATTTGTCAGTATAATGGATTCCGATGTATTGAGTCAAGAATGTAATTATTAATCACATAAACCACGATGCATAAGTTTCATTATTAAATAAGACAAAAAGGATGATATACATGTTTTAAGGCAGCTGTCAAAATATGAACAAGTATGATGTACCTTCGTGGAAAGTACTGTTAAAAGCGTATGCCATATCGTCACAAAACACTATGTCACTGTTTACCGCATCATTCACTCATATTCAATTAATATTCAATTAATATACTGACTAAAGGAAAAGAACCTGATTACAAATACAAATATATATATATATATATCCTTACATAGTATAATTAATATACTGACTACAGGAGACAACTTGACAAATTGTTATTTACTCTCACATAGAATAACCAACAATATATGAATAATATGTATTATTACCCCTCACTTTTTCGTAATGCTAATTTCCCATAGGCCTCTGGGAGTTATTTTTACTGTTAATGCAAGTGTACCACGTGACTAAAAATTTTGTACTGTTACATAGGTAACAGTATTTTTTAAGCGGTCACGTGGTCTATTTCCTAAATAAAATGAAATAAAATGGCCGCCATTTTTTTCTCGATTCATTCTTATTTTCGACGTTAAACCCCGATAGGACATCAATTTCTCCTCTGGAGTCCCTATGACACTCGTAAAATTTAGTTGTTTGTACCCTGGTGTACTTTTCGCGTATAAAATATCTTTTTGCTCAATAGTCAAAAAGTGAACATCCGTTTTCAACGGAAGTGATTGCAATGTAAATAATTATGTGTCAAACTGAAACATGCAGAAGATTTAAGCATGCAACAAAGGATTATTTAACAAATTTAATCAGTGAAACGTTACAGATATGGTGGACATAGGATATCATCGTTATTTTGTCAAAAACCATGCTAAGAATATTCTGGAAACAGAAGGATCAGATTTCACAGATCATAACCGTGTAAATGGGTTAGTGTTTTGTTTCCTAAATAAAACCTAGCTTATTGTATGTTTATGATTTGTAGATAACATCACTTGCTTAAAGAATAAAAGAAAAAGAAAACTTATCAAGTAGGCCTACAGTAAAGTACACTTAAAACTTAAAAGGTAAGGACAGTTTTGTTATTGTTACTCTTGGTTTATTTTTATTACAGTTAGATTTAGTTGACATTTTCAGATCATCTCAGTATTTTTGTTCGGGGTAATGAAATAAATAACACATGGGTTTGTGAGTTACAGTAAAAATATCATCCCTCGTAAAAATACTGTTACCCTCGGCTACGCCTCGGGTAACAGTATTTTCCTCGGGATGATATTTTTACTGTTACCCACAAACCCATGTGTTATTTATATAATATTACAAGCACAATTAGTCTATTTCATAAATATCCATTACAAAAAGCGTGATTACAGATTTTTACTTAAGTCTTATACTTAACAATGATACTAAAAAAAAGATATTTACTATATCAAAGAAATTGGCACAATGACTTAAACATGATAAATTATACAAGTTAAGCTGTATATAACATCCAAAAACAAGGCACAAATGTAACAAACAAAACGCAAATTTGATAAATCAAATATACATACGCACACCCATGTAGTATATAAACAAAATCATAATTTATAATTATAAGACTGATAATAGGAATGAAGGGATATTTTTGTTTACAAGAACACCATTATGAATTAGTAGAAATGTGATACATGCAAAACGTAAATAAAAGAATATGATCATAAAAGGGTATAAAATATCTATCTCATAAAAAGTTTGAAGGTTTGCATTATACCTTGCTTATTTATTGCAATTTATTATAAACTCGTTTCACAATGTCTCTGTAGGACATAATTTGTTTCAAAGGACCTGAAATAATACCCTCAACTGAATCATAATTTTTCGCCTAACCATATTGAATTATCAATTCAAAAGCGATGTTATATTATTATACACTACTTAACATTATTAAATCGCTTTGCATAGTTGTTGTACGCTATAAGATCTTATTACGTGCTTTTGGTTGTGTTTTATCAGAAAGTGAACACATCTCGTAAATTCACTTAGACCAGTTGTATTTTATGACTTAACCGTCTACAGGAGAAAAACGCGTGATTATAAGTTCTGTGATTTATTATGATAAAATATAACAATCAAACTGGCCAAAGGTCAAACCCCTGATTGTTAATACGATTATTATTATGGTTTTTGTATCAAATAACTTTCAAACCGAAATCTGGAAAATTACAAGGTATAAAAAATGTCAAAATGTTTTCTTACAAGTAAATTGAAATTGAAACTACAAAACAGGTATCAAAGAATATATTGGTTATTTATTCTTAAATTCACTAAATTAAAAGCCATAAAGGTATTAAAATAGCTAAAGAAATACCATAAAATACAAATATAATGAGGAATGATGCTATGTTGATCTGAAATAAAAAGATAAATAGATAAATTAATAAAAAAAACAAATGATATATTTTATATTGAAGGCTCAGTCTGAGAATTTTGTATACGCGGAAATATTTAAAATAAATATTACAGAAAATTTAAAAACCAAAAGGTATACATATTATAGTATATTCTTACTTTGATTGAGACCTTTAAAAATAGGAACACGCTTCAATGTAAATTAATATTTTTATTTCTTCATACAAATGTGATATTTATTAACTTACCCATTCCCATTTAGCAAGCCTTTCTAACTTGTCGTTAACCTGAAATATTCACTCATACTTGACAAAGTTTTTTTTTCTCATTTACTCAAACGAACGTTTAAACATAATGCTATTTTTGATAACTTAAACCCAGGAAAATATAAACAAAACCAAAAGCGCCCAATCCGATTGTTTAACGGTTTACACTGAAGCTTATGTACATAAATTGAAACACAGCTTTTCCGTTGGGGCATATTTTAGTTTTGAGAAATTAAAGCACAATTTATAATAGTAGACACGGACATATGATAAAAATGTTTTTGTTATTGGACCAAAAAAAAAACCGTTTAATTATCATTGCATTACCTTTAGAAGCAGTTATATAGAAGAAACACCAACTTACACATTTGAAAAGACAACAGTCGCTGCATTTGTTTTGTTGATGTTTCTTATCTTGACTGGTAATGGATGAATCTTTTTTCTGCAATGAATCATAATTTTTGTATTCTGTTTCCTATTGAAAAAAGGCAATATGACACTGAAGTACATTTGTATTCGCAACATATATTGGTTTTGTATATTATAATTTAATAAGAAAATGCATAAATATGAAAAATTGCTCCTTCGAAACTGCCAAGCATGGTTTATGTGTCATAAAAAATAACTTGATAAAACAATCAACAATCGACAATCGAAAATCGACATTCAATGTCGAGCTAAACAGTCAACATTCAACTTAACATGACATTCGATATTCGAAAGGTTTCGGTACAATTTCAAAAAAGAAACGAATATCAAGCGTTCCGTTAACAATCCGCTAGACGTTTAAACCATCGGCACTCAATTCAACATTCAACTTTTTTTCTTAACAATATAGTTTCCTGACGAGATTTTAGCTAGACAATCAATAATCAGCTAAACCTTCATAATTTCCTGTGTTGATGTAGACAATCGACATTCAGCTCAACATTTGATTTGCGTTTCTTTACAATATGTTCCAAAACATACTTTTAGCTAGAAAATCAACAATCAGCTAAACAATCACAGCTTTCAATTTTGAGCTACAAAATCAACGTTGAACTTGAAATTCGATATCCTTTTAGTTTACATGTAACTCTTCGGTATTCGCAAGTTTTCAATTCATTCAAAACAAATGTTCAGCTTAATACTGAACAATCAGCTAGACATTCAAAATGATCTATATTAAGCTAAATAATCGACATTCAGCGCAACATTTGATTTCCGTTCCTTAACATTATAATTCCGGGACGAATGTTGAGGTAGACAATCCACTTTCAAGCTAGACTTTCAGAATTTCCAATTTCGAGCTAGATAATCGGCATTTAACTCAACCTTTCAGCTCTGTTTCCTAACAATATCGCGTCAATTAACAATCAGCTATACATTCGAAATTTCCTATGTTGAGCTTTACAATCAATATATTCAGCTCAACATTCGATATTTCTGAATTTACACATCAATGAATTATAACAAATTACACACATTACGTTATTGAAGATAAAATATAGACGCATCTTATTCAAAACTGCATAATCATGTTTTTTCGGATTGTTGCATAAAAAAAAACATAATTAACAAAACTTTTAATAACATTTTCATTTTTACTCGATAATAATATACTCAATTTGAGAAGAATAAGTAAAATATTTCTTAGCCATATATTTTTATTTTAAATCTGCATATACCTGACAGAATAGTAAAAATGAAATTCGTTCTCAAATACTCCTAAAGAACATTATTTACAATTCAAATCAATTAACTTCCTACATGACTTTTTAGTCACTTCTAAATGCGAAAGACCTGATTGAGCGTAATTCTAATGATATTTAAAATGGATATATATAAGTTTCTTGGTCATAATTGTTTAATACGCTTATACAATGAGAGACAATTTATATCATCCTTGCAAATAATTAATAACTAATTAATAGTTAATAGAAAAATGATGGAGAAACAATCTTTCATTTTGAACACCTTGGTTCAACCAAACGTGCCCAAACCTATTACATCATAAAATATGTGCAATATTATTTGCCCAATTGATTCACTTTTATATATTATTTTTGTCTATTTCATTAAAAACATGTGTACATCTTACTTTAAATGTTAAGCAAGGAGATTCCGCGATTATTCGCTAGATCATTGTGATAACCTTTTTGTCTAATGGTATTATTATTATAGCGGTACTGCATGAATCTGGAATTTCCCCTTAAACAAAAAAATGTGTTTTATAAATTGACCATTAATCGCATTATTAAATCAAATGTGAATTTAAAGAAATTTGGTGGGTTTCATCAAGTCTCTGCGCCTTTAAATGAACAAATACTCATGAATATTTCTTCTTCTGTAATTTCTGAGTTAAAGTTCTTAATTTTAGATAAATTTCCATCGAATAGAGCAATTTCTGAAACGTGTTCATCAACAAGGCCTAAACAAAATTTCTCTAAAAGATCTTTCAAAGATTCTAAAGGAATGCTGCAATGATCGTTTACAAAACATTTTTGTTCCCAAAACGATCTAGGTTATTTGAATTCTATACTAAATCATCGAGCTTGTTACTAAAAATATTTAATTGACACTTTTTTCAAAATGCGTTTAAAACTTTACATTATTAAACCTTACTGTATAATAGACATACATACCAAAAATTATAAAAAGGTCACCATCTCGTTTGTATAATATTGACAAAGTTCAAATTTTGTATCGGATTTACACAATAACAATATCAGTTGTATTTTAATTATATGTAGAAAAGTTACACTTATCTCATATATTCTTTCCTAACTTGGAAAAAGTGATTAAAACAACTGTAGTTTCTGCATAACTACCAAATAAGTCAAGGCAAAATGTGTATATGAATATATTTTCCTTGTTTTTTGAGACAGAAACCTGTCATTCTACGACAACTCTATAAATGCATGACGTATTTATATAATTGGGCGAAATGGTGTAAAATGACTCAAATGATGTCCGATTGTGTCTGAAATAATGTCTTCTTGTGAACTTTGTTGGCCCGACATAAATACTTTCGAACACCAAACGAACACTGGCGTCTCCATTTTCGGAAGTAATGTAACCCACTAAATAGTGGTGAAGCAAGGTGTTATTTTCAATCCCCTGAATATTGTAAACATATACGCCCAAAATGCCGAACCATTTCTATAGGTTACAGTTTGTATAACATCTCTCAAGTACGATAAAACGTTAATATTGTAGGTTGACTTTTATTGGAATTTAGCTTTTGCCTTATGAAATATTTATTATTAGATTGAACAGCCGCACCCAATTGTATAAACGTTGGTTAACTTAAACCACTGGGTTTAATCCATGGTTAGATTAACTTTTGGGTTAAACTTTAGTTAACCAATTGTATAGAATTTTGGTTATTAATAAATTTAACCAGCGTAAATTTCTGGTTAAATTAACCCACGTATAGGAGGTGGGTTAAATTTTAACCAAACATTAACCAGAAATAAAATGGCTGCCGTTTAAACGCTTCGTCTCAGCTTTAGTTTATTTTGCTTCGAAATAGACTATTATCGGTTATATATGATGGCAACGATATTTCCTTTAGTTGCGTAGTGAAGGGAATGGAAACAAACAGTTTTTAAAAACAGCTGTCAATGTCGATAACTCGGATAAATCTTGGTACAAAATGTCATTTTAATGAAGATCATACTGAGGATAGACTTAAAGGACAATTTATAAGTTAAATTACGAAGTGATTTTGGTCATTTTGGACCAGGACGCAGCGGGAGATCTCTGCTTTGTTGCTGGCGACAACGAATCCAGCCATGCGATAGCACAATAAGAAGCAATTCTCTTGATATAAGCCTAGAGACATTGGGACAACGTGCCACAGTCTGGCATGTTTTGTAGCGCCAAGAAATAAAAAGGCAATAAAAGACAACGCAACATGCAAAAGTGTAACATATCAGCCACCATACAAATGACTAGAAAGAGATCAAAATATGCAAAAAGTCCTTATTGCGATAGTAATACAATAGAAATATGGTGATAAATACTGAAAAATCAATCATCAATTGTTCACAACTGTTATAAAAAATATTACTTAAAACTTGAATTTTGCCTTTTCTTAAAATCCTAGTACAATGTACATTTTTAAGCTAATTTGCTGAAAATATGTTGGCACATCATGTGTAAAATTAGTAAAAAAATAGAATGTTTATTAAATAGTTTCCAAAACGAATATTGATGATACATGTACATTGATTATTATTTTAGCTCTATCAAACAGATTTCAAAAGGCAAATACTGTATTATAAATATTAATGCTTTTTTCCCAATCTTTAACTAAATTCCTATTCAAACTGAAATTTGGAACATCCAAAACAATAAAGTTAGTTATTAATTAAGTTAATTTCAGTATCATTACAGACAAATGTTTTTGTATGTACATGTGTGTGTGTGTTGTTGTTTTATTTTTGTAGAGAACAATACATTTTTTTCTATTATTCAGGAAGAATTCCCTGTTGAAAAACTTGCTTTTTCCTAATTTGATCAGCAAAATTTCCAAAATGATGACCTAGGCAATTTGTCTTCTCATCAAAAGTTGATAAAGGGCTTGTTTATTTCTAGCAGCAGGGAAGAATCAACAATGTCATCTTCTGATGAAAATTAAACTGTTTTACTTAGTTCTTAAAGAAAGTTACAAGCTTTATGATCATGAATTCCAACACAAGTATATATCATCAAGTTATTTTATCAACCTTGAAACTTTCAACTTGTAAAATGTTCCCAAATAGCCTCATTTTTCCCCAATAGAGGTCTTTTGTCAAATTAACTAAAAGTCGGCTCATGTATTTTATATACACACTGACACATTCTTCAGAATTTAACTGAACAACAAAATATTTGCTCTCACTTATGAATTATTGAAAAGATTGTTTTACTTTTCTAAGGATAGGAAGCTGCTTTAGGTCTGATTTAATGTGACACAATATAGTACTGAATGGGAAAAAGGCAATTCTAAACATTAATATTTTCATTCTATATGTACCCAAACAGAAATACATTTTGTTTTTAAAATTTTATGTCCATTTCTTTTATTAGCTCACCAGAGCCGAAGACTCAGGGTGAGCTATTAGTATCAAAGGGGGATTCTCCAGCGCCCGTCGTCAAGCGTCAACAATCGTCTTCTTCTCTGAAACTACTGGGCAGATTTACTTCAAATTTGGTAAGTAGCATCCTTGTGACAGTCACACTTGAATTTGCTCATATCATTTCAATTAGCCCCTTTTTAGGGGTCAACAGAGCTAAAAATAGAAAAAAAACTTTTAAACCTACAAAACTAATTCATGGATGATCACCAAACTTTGTATGTAGCAATGTTTGGTAGTCTTTTATCAAGTTTACTCATATACATTTGATTGGCCCCTTTAAGGGGTTTCTAGGGCTAAAAATAGAAACAAAACTTTAAGATATCTTTATCTACAGAAA